AGCACGGATACAGAAGGCTCGTTTCGCATATTCCCGCCAGTTTACGCCGTCTCTGGCTTAGTAGACGTGATATCCGGCTATAGACCAAAGGGCGTGTGTACTGCTCATCAGTCCGCTCCGTCCTCCTTTATGGCTGTGAGACTTGGTCATTGAGAGTGGAAGACATGAAAAGATTATCTGTGTTCGATCATAGGTGCCTGCGTTCTATCTCCCGTGTGAAGTGGTATAATAGGGTGAGCAATATTGATGTTAGGCATCGGTCGAGTGCTACGTAAAGAGGGGAAATCAGTCGACGAGACTGTGAAATTACATCGACTGAGATGGTTGGGACACGTGTTACGTATGCCTAGTCATCGCCTTCCTCGCCGAGCAATGTTAGCTGATATAGGGTCAGGCTGGAAAAGAGCTAGTGGCGGTCAAACGAAAACATGGCACCAGTCAATGAAATCCACAACAGTTAGTCTAAGTCACGTAGGGAGATGTAGACTTCCTGGTTAGGGTCCTCAGGACGGTAAAAACCAATGGTTGGAAACAATTGGTGACATGGCCCAAACTCGTTCTCAATGGCTGGCGCAAATGCATTCACTCCTTGTGACTTATGATTTCCGATGAAACTGTTTTGTTCTTCGTTATTACTACTCCTTTGTCTCACACCTCTGTTTACTGTCTCTAATATGCATTTCTCCCAATTTCTTCTCTTGCTTTGTGTGCTATATGGAGTTTGGCGACTTGAACTGCCGCACATATGTGCAAAGTTCTATGTCGAAAACCGACGGACCGACCGACCGAGGATGCACATATAAACAAAGTAGAGAATACGATATTACGTGAGAGTTCTAAATGAATACAAGAATTATGAGCAATTGAAGAAACAGGCAGGCAAACAAACAAAATTCACTCTTAAAGGTGTTCATGTATCATTTATGAACTGAGTTAGTTTTCATATGTTCTAAGAATACACGTCTAAATGGTTTTGGCTGCTGATATTACCACATACAGTCCTCAATACAAATTTCTATGAGATAATCACGGTCTGTGTGTGTGCAGCACAAGGAAGTTATCTGAAAGTAGGACTTAGTTATTGATTTTGTCATACACTAGACTGTAAACCATACTTTCACGGTGTGGAGTGAAGGTCGACTATGCTCCCCGGTCCCTTAGTCTGAAAGTAGTAGTAGTAGTAGTAGTTTAGCCAATGAAGCACGTCCCGATTCTTCATTTTGTAATTTAGGATCTATCTCATAACACACCTACTGCAACCAGCATATATATGAAAAGCAATCTTGCTTAGGAAATCTAACCGAGAACATGTTTTGAAATTTGTTGGAACCGACGTAAGTCTAGGATGTTTGCAAGTTGAAGTGGAGAAATGGTGTGTGTCTTCTTACACAACTGGTAGCTTCGGAATTAGTTGCGCTTTCTGAGCTGGTTGGTTTCATTGCGAAGCTTTCGTCGTCCTTCTGGACAACATCTTCGGCGCAAGTCTTGGTATAAAGTGAACTGATTTAAATTTTCCGTGAGTGATAGAATTGCGTCTCCTGGTGACAAACCATCTTTACATATGTATTGATCATTTTGTATTGTATTTTAAACTTTCTCGTCACATGACCTACTATTTATTAGTCGGTAGATTTGGTCTATATTAACACGTTTGTTAATCGCTGGTTGATTCACTTGAGTACCAGGCTTCTAGGAATTCTCTGGCACTTTTGGTGTTTCCTCTGTTTAAAATTTCTGCATCATCCCAATCATCAAAATCGTATCCATAATTATCCACATGTATTGATACGAAAGAATATATATCATGTCTTTTATACAGCTAATTTGTGTTCTTGGATTCGAATTCGAAGGGGATAACCACTTTGGCCGATGTAACTTCTATTGTAGTTCATACAATTTATTTTGTTAATGGTACTAATTTTATCGTCGTTTTCTGTTGGATCTTTCGGTTTCCACATTATCGAATGAAGTGACTGTGTTGGCCGGCTGGCTTGTGTGCTATATCTATTTCAAACGGTTTCAATATTCTAGCTGTTATTTCAGAGATATTTTTTCTGATATATGGTAGAATGAATTTTCTTGTAGTCTTTGATGATGGTTTCTTGTTGGTGTTGTGACTCGATTTTAAACACTTTTAGATAAAATTGGGAAGATATGCATTCTTTTTGAGGACGGCTAGTAGGTATTTTTTCCTCCATTCTCCTCAACGAACACTGGAGTGCTACGGTGTGTTTGAACTCTTTTAAACAATGTCTGCACACACTTTCTTTTGTGGGTAATTGGGTTATTGCTAGTGTAGTTGAGTATTTGATCTGTGTACTATACTTATGTTTCTAAATTTCCTGTGTTAGTTCTCCTAATTAAGACATCTAAAAATGGAATTTTGTTATCTAATTCTTCTCTTGTGAATTTGATGTCTTAAATTATGTTGTTAATTAACTTGTGGGTATATTCCAAATCATTTCTTTTAATTATTACAACTGGTAGATCACACAAAATCGCCTCTTGATTTTTGTCACATAACAGTGAGATGTTACTTGCAAGAAAATTTGGTTGGCATTAGACAGACTCTGTTACAACCTGCTACTCTAAAGTATGCATTACAATACGATACCTGTTATTAAAGGCGAACTCCGCACAAACTTATAAAACTTTCATATCAATTCCCATGTAAGTGATCACACGGGTCATGAGGTGGACGTCGCAAAGTCGTTCAAAATTATCAATAGGTAAAAGAGGTCAACTCTCCTCAAGTTTGCTGAAGCCATCTCCATCAAACGCCTGAAACCTGATTTGTGCGTCCAGAAAGAAAGTTATCAGTCTTCCTTTGCCACCCTGGTAACTGGATATTTTCATCTCTCTTTCATCTGGATACGTAGTGCCGAAAGTTTCCATTGTGTATGATCACTATTGTTCGGAATTATTATATTATTATGGTTCCCTTGGGTTCCTAGTGGAACATAGGGCTTCAACTGCACATCTCCACTTGTTTCTGTCTTATGCTGTACTTTTCACCTGCATCCATGTTAGTCCATACTGTTTCAGCTCCTCTTCACACGATCTCCTCCATGTCACCCTTCGACGTCCCATTCACCGCTTCCCTTTCGGGTTCCACTCGAGCTATGGCCTGACGCGCGATGTCACCCAGCGGCCTCCTTAGCTCAGCGAGTGTCCAATCCATCTTCACTTTCTCCTGCATATTTGTTGAGCGATTGGTCCTTGTTTTGTTTGTTCCCATAGTTTCTTGTTGGTGATTCTTTCCGGCCATCTGATCTTCACTATTGAGCGAAGACAGTTAGTTGTTGATAAAGGTCTGCAACAGGCTGTTGGAAATATTCTTTGTGACACACTGGCCAAGTTTCTGATCTGTATAGAAGAAGTGACTTGACGTTTGTATTGAGAATCCGAATTTTGTTGTTGATGCTGAGTTGAGTGGCGAAGATTTCCAGATTGGTTTCAGGTTGATGAATGTGTTTCTCGCCTTCACGATTCTCGATATGACATCCTCGTCCGTTCCTCCTGTAGTTGAGACAATGCTCCCTAGATAAGTGAATGAAGTAACCTCTTTCAAATCCCTCCCGTTGATGGTGATTGGCGCTGGATGTTGCTGCTGTTGTTCGGAATAGTGTTTAATAATATATATATATATATATATATATATATATATATATGCATATTATTACTGTATGCATATATCGATTGACTGATTTTTGTTTAAAATGAACTCTGTGCAAGCATGTTAAAATTGTTTCTGTAGACATATTTAATAATGACTTTGGCCTGTAAGCAGTTGATGAGAAGGCAACGAAATAAATGACAGTATCACTTTATTCCGCAAAAACTGTAGTTCTCGCTTTATTCAAAGATCACAAAAGAATTAGGTATTTTTGAGAATGATTGGAATTTTACGCCTTAGCAGAATGAATTCAATACATCAATATGCGTTGTTTTCAACTTGTTGTTGTGGTCTCAACTGAGTGAGTATTTGCGTGAATTCAGCTTAGGCAAACACTGTGATTGAAAATTTCAATGCAATCTTAAGGAAAAGTATCTTCAGTCTTACTATATGCACAGCTGATTGATTCGTAAGAAGCTTTCAAAAAATCAAAACCGGTACATTAATGCTTGGAATTCATCAATCTCACAAGGAATAATAGGGGACAATACAATAACGGTTCCACATCAGGTTTTAAAGTCAATATTGACAGTTATTATTTGTTGTTGTCAAGAGTTTATCAATAGGGATCTGATTGGTTTCAAGTTTGGAAAACCTGGCAGTACTGAACAGATGTTTCGTTCTAGTCTTATACTCTTCACCAGCACGGACCCGCCGACCGGGATTCGAACCCCCGGGACCTTACAGTTTCAAGGTTAGCGAGCTTGTAGATAACCCAGCCACTGGAACCCAATATTACCAATGATGAAAGCATAGAAACACTTTTATTCCTCCAGGATTTTTGTTTGAAACAGAACTGTTAATGACTATTTCTCGAATTAAAACCATACTCAAGGCTACTCCATTCGTGTACAACAAACAAAGGAAATTAAGTTGTGTATTTTCTTTAAATAGTTGTTCCTATATTAGTGGGTATTTTTTTATTGCTTTACGTTCCCAGTGGAACACAGGGCTTCAAGCTAGAGGCTTGAAGTTCCGGTAGCAGTGGTGTTTATTCTTACGGGATGCGGCTGCTAGTCCCATACTGAACCTTCACTCTTTACCAGTCTTGCCACTGGCTTAGCGAGGTAAAGGAGTGAGTCGGTGGCCGGGGACCGAACCGCGAACCACATGAGGCATGGTTGGCGAGCACGCTACCGTTGTGCCACCGACGCACAAACATTATCAGGGCGAGGCGCATGTATATAGCGCACACAACCATTAGGACGTGGCGTACTATCCCATCGCCGTCGGCGGATCTAGCATTAAAAGTCACGAAACGACCATCAGAGCATATGAAAGAAAAAAAATTCATGCATTTAGTAGGTACAACCATTTAACTCACCAGCCAATCCTGTAAACACAGGATACATTTCATTAATATGCAGTTTTTCTCCTGTATCTTTCACCATAGTTAACCAAGATTGATACCAATCATATTTTGACAAAATACTGGGATTACGATTATCTTTTAGGTTACGTGAACCTCTTAACTTTTCTTCTAATGGTTCGAATGCATTACGGTCATAGGTTAAATAACCCAGTAGAATAGAGTGTGTAACACAGAATAGACCAAAACAACGAATATGCTTCAATCGATTTACTCCTTCATAGATGCAGGTTTTTTCCAAATCTTTGAAAAATTTATTCGCCGCAGATTTGAACATTAGTTAGACTGAAAAAATTTTAAAAAAAGCGATGTAGGAGAAAAAATCAGCAAATTTGTCAATTAAATGCATTCATAATAATGTCCAGACAAAAGTTTTGATGATAACTGCTACTGGTTAGCTTTATTTACACAAACAGAAAATTATGCAAAAGCCAGTCAGTGGCAGCGGCGGCCTGTTTAAAACCTGGGCTACTAAAATACTGCATCATTTTGTGGTGAAGTTCAACAATAGTGTCCCGGGTGTGCGAACGCCCCAATGACCTTGGATGCATGCTAGTCGTTAGCTAAAGGCACCTGTTATTATCATAGCTGAAATATCAACGCTATTCACCAACTAAGATGCAAATTTCACCCAGATCACGTTTTTAAGCACTGTTTGGACAATGTGTTAGGGTTAGGAAAAAGGTCATGATTACGGTTAGGATAAGGGTTGTAATTAGGGTTAGTGTTAAGTCTAGGATTAGGATCAGGATTAAGGTTAGGGTTACGACTGGGGATAGATGTAGGGTTGATGTCATTTAATTTTATTTGTTTTCTTATCCACATTTTCCTGGTAAGTGGTCGTTGATCCTCTTACTGGAAACCATAGTGATTCAACCGAGGGCTTTTAAGGAAGACTGCACAACAGGATAAAAGAGATAAACGATTCACAAAAACAGCTCATCTTCAGTCATCCCGGTGAATACATCTACAGAAACTAGTCTAACTTAGCAATTGATACTCCACATTATAACTGGGACGTACGTTTTTTAAGTCATGTCAGAGAAAGACACTCTGTTTAATGTGTTTTCATGCATTTTCTTGTAAATAAATATACGTCATTTTTGTGCGAAAATTCCTCATTTTATGATTGGTCGGTTGAAGGACACTCGTGCATTCGCATCGTTTGGGACGCTATTGTTGAACTTTGCCCATTATATTACACATAATTTCTCTCGTTCACTTTGTTTTAATGTATCAAGAAAACATGATCTCTGATGGTGACTTCTACTCTTAAGAATATTTAAAACATCTAAAACCCACTGATGATTCTCAAGATTCTACTAAACTTGAGAAAAAGAGAAATCGTGGATGTACAAACTACCACTAACTGAGATATAAAACGAATTGCCTTCAGTCTTTTATTATCGAGCAATTACTATGTCCTTGGGTCAGAAATCATGTACTCCTGCATCTTTTTGCTTAATTGGCTTTCAACTAAATGTTGTGTCTTTCTCGAAGGAGGGGGAGGTAAAGAAGAAGTATCGTAATAAGGGATTGGTTTCACGCTTCAGATCAGATAGCTATGTGTCACACGATTTGCCGATAGCTGGTACTTTACTTGAAGATCCGCTGAACATTCTATACATTATATGAACACTATTCAGAATAAAGCTATTATTGTTATTACTACTATTACTGAGTATAGAGGATTGTCTCCGCACAACTTCTGAGACTTTTATATCACATAGACTCGATAGTTTATTCTGACAAACTGGTGCTTAAAAGTCACATCTTTTGCTAGGAATTCATTAATCTAAATCTAAAAGGTTAGGTTTTACTTCCAATCGTTTTTCTGACGAAAATATATGCAAGTTTGACTATTTTCACAAGTGACAACATCGACCAATGAAATATAAGAGTTAAATACGCGCTTGACTGACTGCTTTCAACGCAGAACTTTGCACAGATAGTTGTACAGTAGTTTGAGATGCAACACTCCATGTAGCATAAAAAGCAAGAGGAGAGATATAGGAATAGGAGACATGTGCACTGCAGTAGAGTATAATTCCATTGTGGGTAAAATTTATTTTGATAAAGCCTCACAGTTGACCCAATAAGACAAAATAATACAATTTACAAAATACGTTGCAATGACTGTGAGTTAGGTCAACTACAATCTACAAACTAGTAGATTGGGGGTAGTCAGATTGTCAGAACATAAGAATTTAGCTAAGGTTAGAATGATTGATCCCGAGAAGATAAGTAATTAGAAGAACAGTTCAGCAATTGCACGGCATGCAATAGGATGGGAGACGGTTAAAATATTGAGAAGTAATATACGTATGCGTCGGTGGCACAGTGGTTAGGACTCTCGCCGACCATGCACATGGTCCGGCGTTCGATCCCCTGCCGGCGCACACCCGATATCTATGGTCGGCCTGAATTTGGGCTACCGATATCCATGCTGTAAATTCCACACTTGTACTGAAAATACGGTGTGGAATCAAGCTGTAAATCAAAATAAAAAAAAATAAAATTACCGAATCTTTGTCCATTGAGTCTACACCCAAAACGTGTAATAGGAATGACTCATCATTCATAAAGGATATATGGAAACTACTACTACTTTCAAGTCAAGCGATGAAAAATAATGGAATTATATGAACAAAATTAGAAAGTTGTATGAGTACGTTGATATGATTATGAGCAGCAGTAAATTGTGCTCGAAACGCTGTCACATCAGTAAATATTACTTTATCAAGATAAATTGTAGCCACAATAGAAGAGAGTTCTTTTTTATTCCTTTACGTTCCCAGTGGAACATAGGGCTTCACGCTAGAGCCCTGAAGTTCCGGTAGCAGTGGTGTTTATTCTTACGGGATGCGGCTGCTAGTCCCATGCTCAACCTTCCCTCTTTACCAGTCTTGTCACTGGCTTGGCGAGGTAAAAAAGTACGTCGGTGGCCGGGGATCGATCCCCGAACCACATACGTGGTTGGCGAGTATTATACCGCTGTGCCACCGACGCGGAGAAAAGAGAGATAATAAACAGAAGTGTGAAGGTAAAAGAATGTTCATACGGAATAATAGGGTTTTATTGGTTATGACCAATCATAAAGAGTGAATGCGTCTGCCCTAGCCATTGAGAACAATCTTGAGCCATATCACCAATTGTCTCCAACCTTCATTGGTTCTTACCATCCCGGGGAAGCCAACCAGGAAGTCTACATCTTCCTATGTGGCTGTCATAAACTAACTGTTGTCGATTTCATTGATTTTCCAACTTGATCTTATGTCAGCTAACATCGCCCGTCGAGAAAGGCGTTGCCTCAGCATGCATAACACATGTCCTAACCATCTCATAATCTGCTTTTACCCCAGCAGAAAAATAATTCGAAGGATACTATGGGAGAGATGTGGAGATAACTCCAACTGTGGTGAGAGCTACCTGCAAGCCAAAAATTGCAGACAGTAATTCACGTTAATGTTACGTCCTGAATCATAGTCATGATAAAAAAACAATAACAAAGCTTAACCTTGAGGAACTCAACAACCAATCATAGCAGACTTAACGTGTGCAATTACTATTCGCAGATATACGGCTTAGCTTTTTGAGAAACAGTCACAGGCAGCACAGAATATTGCTTCTCCGCTGACAATAATGTACATAAAAATCTATAAATCAGTAAAAAGTACCGGAGTCACAAGTGAAAAAATCAAATACCCTCTTGACTTTTGAATACGTGTAACTGAATAACTATACTCCAATCAGACAATCGAACAGCAGAGATAAGCTTCAATTATACACAGTCAAGTCTGCAAAATGAGTCTGATTACTGGAGTGCTTGATGCATATGCACAAAAAAGAGATGGTAGTCAGCAGCTAACTTCACCGAATATCCCTTTCTTTAAGTACCTCACAGATGGGATATAAAGAGTGAACGACAATTTATACCAATTTTTTATCATTCTAAAATCTAAGAAATCACTTTTACACACACACACACACACACACATCGACACCATCATGGTAGCTAAAGTTCTAGGCTCAATAATCATGCGTAGACTAAACGGTGAAGCGAATGTCGAGAAAATACATTGCACTGATCAACGCACTCTACTCGAACTCATGCAGCTAGCCAGGTGAGAGCCTACATAGGGAAAGTTGTCATCTGAAGTGGTGACAACTAGTTGTGTCCATCAGGGATGCCCACTGTCCCCATTTCTGCTTAATTTCATCATAGATGTGCAGGAAGCGCGGTCGTTGTTAATCCGTGCTAATGGAATTAACCCTAACTACCGACTTCAGCGACTCAGGGATTGACTTTTTACCGTCAGGACATAGTCCTTTCAGCTGCAGATGCTGACAAAATTCAGCAGTCTTCTGAACACCTGCTGTCAAATGTAAGATGATACTACAGGACTGGACTACACTGACTCCTAGATTAGAAATGGGGAGTGAAGTGGTAAAGCGTGTTGACCAGTTCACTTATTTGGGAAGTTGCATCAGCCAGTGCCAACGGGTTGATCTCTGACGAAATCTTAGCACGGATACAGAGGGCTCGTTTCGAATATGCCAGTTTACACCGTCTCTGGCGTAGACGAGATATCGACGACTACCGACTAAAGTGTGTGTGTACTGCTCAGTAATTTGCTCCGTCCAACTTCATGGCTGAGACCTGGCCATTGAGAGTGGAAAACATGTAAAGCCTGGCTAGCTGTCTTTGATCATAGGTGTCTGCGCTCTATTTCCCGTGTTAAGTGGTATCACAAGGTGAGCAATATTGAGGTTATGCATCGGTCGAGTTCTAGGTTAAGTAAGGAGGGGAAATCAACAGACGAGGCTATAAAATTACATCGATTAAGACGGTTAGGACATGTGTTACGTATGCCTAGCCATCGCCTTCCTCGACCAACAATGTTAGCTGACACACGGTCAGGTTGGAAAAGAGTTAGTGGCGGTCAAACGAAAACATGGCTTTAACAGTCAGTGAAATGCGCAACAGTTAGTTTAAGCCAGCCAGCCGCGTAGGGAGGTGTAGACTACTTGGCTGGCTGGAGTCCTCGGGAAAGTAAAAACCAATGGCTGGAGACAATCGGTGATACGACTCAGCAGAGGTTAGGACGCTTGCCGACCATGCACACGGTCCGGGATTCGATCCCCGGCCGACGCACACCCGATATCAATGGTCGGCCTGCTAAATTTGGGCTACCGATATCCCATGCTGAAAATTCCATACTTGTATCAAAAATACTGTGTGGAGTCAAGCTATAATAAAATAAATAAATCGTTCTCAATGGCTGA